CCTGCCGAGGAGGCCAAAGGAACCCGGTGCCTGGCGGAGGCTGACCCGTCCTTGAACCTGATCCCTTTCCCAGCCGTGGCGCTTTCCTCACCAGCGTCTGCATGGACAAGGCGTCCTGTGGGGATTCGTCCTGTTCTCACAGAAAGGTCTCAAGTTTAGAGCTACACCCTCCAGGCCAACAGGAAAAATAGCTTTCTGTAATGAAAACGGTTAAGTTCTCAAAAAATTTAATACAGCATTTTAACAACCTACATGATCTGTATGTAGCAGCAACCAGTATTGATTATAAAACTGCATATTTCGAATAGTAAAAAATGCAAACTGTGCTCTTCAGAAAGAAACCTAAAGGAAAAAAAGAACATTTGTTCAAAACTCCACAAGTAAAAGAAAATATTAATGGAACTATAACATAAGCTCCACAGGGCAGGGGTTTTGTTTGGTCTGCGCTCTGCTACAGCCTACATGCCTAGAACAGGGAGGGCACAGAAGGTGCTCAATAAATACATGGCGGATGGCTATTTTGACAATGAAATCTGATTAGAAATTGCAGGAATTAGAAGTGCCCAGGCAATGGATTTAACTAAAAAGCTAGATAAAATGTGGCATTTTAAAATGACCCTGAAACAAAATGAATTAAACTAATAGTTCTTTTCAGTTTATAAATGGTTACGACGAGTATTTGGGTATATTTAGTGTATAAAGTTTTATAATATACCTGTCAAATATCCCGCCAGTCCACAGCCCACAGCCTTCTTGTCCCTGCCTGCAGTCCTGGGTGTCTTTTCTTTTCTAATATCCTTTAGTTACAAGTAACCGACAGCAAACGCCGATGAGCCAAAGCAGGAAACGGGAGGTGGGCTTTGCTGGAGGGACTCTGGAGGCTGATGGTCTGGAAGAAGCACCAGCTCAGAAGGCCTCGTGGGCTGGAAGGAAAGTCTGAGCCGTCAGGACTGTCTTTTCCTGAATGTCTGCCTCATTCTCTGAAGTTTTTTCCATGCGCTTATAACCAAGGTGCCAACATCAGCAGACTCTGCCTGTCTTCCTCTCCTGAGAGGAAGTGTTTTCATAGATCCAATTAGAAGGACCCAGGGAGGGAGGCCAATTGGTTGAGCTTGGGAGACCAGTCTCTGTGGACGGGGAGGGTGGGGCACAGGAGGACCTGGCAGCCCCCCTTTAGGACGTGCCAGCTATGAAGGTGAGCAGTTCCCTACGGGGCGACGAACAGCCCAGACGAGAGCAAATGTCCTTCGTAAGGACAACGAAAGCCCTGCTGGGAGCCCTCCCAGACAGACGGCCTCCTGCGGGCTAGCCTGCGAGGCTTCCCATGGTCAGCGTCTGGGTCCTTGTTGTCCTGAGAGAGGTTAACTGAATTACTAAGATCTTCATTATTAAAATGAGGTAACAGTTTTATCTGAACTAAAAAGGCAAGCATAACAGTCTCTTTCCCTGAGAGATCAAACCTCCTCATCACAACTTCATAAGGTTGGACAAGCCTGATACTGAACAGGACAAGCTGATGAATGAAGTCCTTCCATGTTACCAACTGTGAACCACAGCCAGATGCTGATCTAAGGCCTCGGCGCTGAGGAAGGAGGCCGGCTCTGGCCTCCCGTGTTTAACGTGAAAGACCCACGTCCCAACAAACCAGTGCAGCCACTGAGCGGTGTGTGATATTTGGCTTTACTTTATAAAAATACACAACTTAAATACATAGGACACTCTCTATATATGACATAAACAACTGCTGGATTTAACACTTTCAGTTATTTCAATAGAAAGCAAATGTGAATTACCTCGTAAGAGCAAATGGTCTGTTTAGAGACTCTGCATTCACAGTCAAAGGGCAACCGATGCAGGAAGCCTCACAAACTGTCCAATTTCCACCAAGTCACCCCCACCACCACCCCGCCTTCACTGCACAGCCATCGGCACTGCCTGTTCCAACAAGCGGATGCACCCACATCACAGTTTAAACGGCCGTCTTCTCCAGAGGTGTCTCACGGGAAAACCAATGTGCAAATAGTATCCAGTGTAACTTACAGTTGTGCTCAATCCTAATCCCACGTCCGAACCTCTTTCCACTTTGCAGAATTTGCAATGGAAGGTGGTTAGCTATATTTTGCAGCTAAATTCATTTTCAAAAGTTTCGCCAAATCACAGGCAGACCCAGCGAGCTGTCACCGTCACACACTGTGTGCAACAGCTCACCCCTTCCAACCCGAAACAGAAACCCCTCACCCCTCTACACTGTCCCTGTCTGCGAGGGGCAGCGACCTCATTCCGTGCTGCACTCACTGCTTTCTTTCAGAAACTCAGCTGCCTGTCAATGGCTCATGGGGCTAACAGTGAAGTAGGTCCTCGTTTATGGGTATAAAAAACATTGAGAGTTCAATGCTGAGAACATAAGGTAAGTTTCCTGAGGTAAATGTGAGCCTTAAAGAACAGTGCGAGCTACAGCATGAGAGCAGCTATGTGGGGCAGCAGCACAGTCCATTAAGACTGACAACGCCCAGGACACGCTCATGTGAAGCAGCAAATGCCAGTGGGGACTCAGAAATGCTGACGGTCCAGAATCTACTCTAATGGCGGCGGCAGGAGAGGCAGCGGGCAGAGGCGGTGCAGGCTAAGTGCGTGGGTGGGTTGGATGATGAGTCTGAAATGCCTCCAGGGGTTTCTAACAAGTTTTGGTGACTCAGATGTGGAAGGAACGGCTTTTCTTTAGTAATAACTGTTCAAACTTCTTATTCCTTTTTGAATTCTCTCTAGAAAATTTTTTTTAGCCATTGCAATTATTCTGCTGTTACTCTTACTGATATGCTCTGACTGAATAATTTTAAGATTGAACTATAAAGGGCATATTTGCACCAAGAACTTACTGCACAGAAGTCTGTAAGTTTGTATGAAATTAGTACTAGAACACTTCTCATTGCTGTTCATGCTTCATTACCTTCTAATATTCTACTCAAGAATTATGGAAGTCAGAAAATCCTGACTTCCTCTCCTGCTTTGCCATAAGTTAAGCAGCTCATGGCCGTGTACACTAACTCACAACGAAGGTGCTGGGACCTGAGTCCCAGGACCTGAGAGCAGGAGCAGGCTGAATTTCAACAAGCCAGTCACTACCCACGGGTACGGATGGAAGGCTAAAGAACACCCACTCCACCCCCAGACGCACGCTCTCACTGCAGGTGAGTGAGGTGGCCGACCCAGGGCTGGAGGACAGAATGAAAACTGGCCCCAGCTGCTTATATAGGGCCCCACACTCAGCGAGCGGGCAGGTCCCCTTGGGCTGACACGGCATGCATGATCCCTCACTACAGGACTCCTCAGTTCTGCAGCCAGCAGAGCGATGCTCACACTGTAGGCATGATGGCGGCCTTAAGCATTATCGGGTCCAGAGAACCTTGGGTTGAGTCCTGCAGGCCCAGAACTGGTTAAAATCAAACGGCCAGGGGAAAACCCCACCAGAAATCGTATCTCAGATTTCAATTCAGAAAAAATTGAGATGAGAACCTACCAGAAAACAACGCTCTGGTTTCCTGACAAGTTCCCTGCGGCCCCAGGGCAGCCACGGAATGCAGCTGCTTTGGGAGGGCAAGAACCCAGACCGCAGTGGGCGTGAATGGATGGAAGTGCCTTCCTCCTGAGTGTAGGTACGCTGCCCAGCCATTTATATGGGAGAGCTGGTGAAGCTCACAGGAAGCAGTGCCCTATGTACCTTAAAGTCCCGGTCAGTGCAGCACAGTCACAGCTCCACACATGAGCATCGTCATGAGAGTGACAGGCGATGGGCCACACCTGAGAGAAAGGCCAGGCCTGATCACCCATCCCTGGGAGACCGAGCGGAGACTATGGGGAAATGGGTTTTTCTCTGTGTAGTTAGTTTTTATAATCTGTGGTTTAAAATATCACTATTCAGAAAATTGGGACCCAAGCAAAATTATGGCGATTCCTCCCACACAGACTTTAAGATCTCCCTGAGCTCTCACCCCCCACAAGTGCCTCTGGTCATCCAGACCCAGGCCCAGCTTATAAGGGAGGCAGTGGGTGGAAGCCAGGGACTGAGGTGAGGAATGATGGCGGATGTAGTATACAGAACAAGGCGGCTAGAGAGGAGCTAACGCTGAGGAGACCTGGCTTGTTGAGCAGCACCCCTGCCTTTCCCACCGGTATTTGTCTGCAGCAAATAACGCAGAAACCAAAAAGGCATAAACCTCACCTGGAGCTCCGCTAAGGCATCCAATGTGCCTGAGCCAGGCTGCGGCCCCTGGCGATGTGTGCACAATCCAGTGTGCCCTGCAAGCCCTTGTCTTGGGTGTGACTCCTCATTCCCAGGTGATGATGCTCCCTACAGCAACTAGCACCCATTTCCACAGCCAGGGAGCGACCTTAGATCGAGGGGCCCAACTAGCAGCAGCCAGTTTACCCCGAAGTGTGGCTGCTCTCTCTTTTACCCTTAGGACTGGCTCGTCTCTCCCCCTGGTGGTCAGAGAAGGGAACAGACTAAATGTCAAAAAAGGGCTGCTTACTTCAGAATCGCATGGCTGTTTCACAAACTTCCAAAGGGCTCTAAGAGTGCATTAATTTTAGATTGATGGTTACGAGGCCACTAAGGACTCATTCTAAAAGGAGCAACTTGCTTGTGAGGTCACACCAACTTCCAGGGGTTTCAATACTGTCTGCTAGTTTTTCTTCTGATAGTGAATTAAATAAAAAAGATACAAGGTGAAAGGTCTTCCTGTCCTCCCTCCAGAAACCTGTGGACCCTCCTGGGCAAGGGGCCTGCGGGAGGATCTGCTGTCAACTTGGAAATGTGTGATGAGCGACCCGCAGGCGTGGGTTCCCTCGCTCCCTGTGAAATGGCAGCAGGTGCTGGATGGCTGATGTGGGGCTGACACACACGGGAAGGAGCAGGGAGTCTGCGGAGGGAAGCCCACGCTGGCTGCTGCGTCTCTGGGGGGGCCTGTCTGGACAGAGCCCCCGTGTCCTCTCCGTACAGCCTACTTGATGTTTTTCAGGACGGCCGTGCGAGCGTTCACCACCGCCTTGAAGGCGTCCTCGCTGCCCGGCGCCACACACTTGTCAGGGTGCAGCAGAACGGCGAGCCTCCGGTAGGCCTTGTTCACCTCCTCCCTGCGGAAGGGCAGAGCTCCTTTAGTGACAGTTACGTTTTAGCTGCTTGAATAATGTAACGACTCTAACGGTAAGCACATCCCAAGTAACTACCACCCCTTTTAAAGATGGGACTAGCAAACAACAAACAAACAAATAATAAATAACATACAACTAAGAAAAAAATGCAGTAGAAACTGAGTACATAAACGCTGAGAAAATGTTTGGTAAGGGAATGACCAGATGAAAACAGACAGCACTTGGCACCTGGTGGCACTGAGTGAGTCTGACAGCAGTAAGGGCGGGGGGCGGTCAGGGCAGGCCCCCGGCGGGCTCTGAAAATGGGGGTTGTGACCTAACATGGGGGAGGGAAATACCGGGCAACTGGCAGAGAACTGGAGGCTGGGCACGGGCTGTGGCCCGGCGTGTAGTTCCCTGAGGAAGCTGTGGGAAGGACAAGGAACCAGTCGGCCAGGGAGAGGGTCAGTAAGTGAAAGGCCACAGAGGCAGAACAACAGGCAGCGGGATCTGATCAGCAGCAAGAGGAGGCCTCCATGGGACAGGGTGTGGGAGTGCCGCTTCTCGAGGTTAGGGTCAGGCGGGGGTGCCGCCATAACCCAGGTGAGAGCATAGCGGTGCTGCGTTGTCCGTGCAGAAAGAGAAAGGGATCATGTGGAGCAGGAGGGGGAGCGGCCTGGGAGGAGCCAGATGCACCTAGGGGTAAGCTATAGGAAAAAGGGCTGAAATGAGTCGTTTCCTGAGGAATCTGAGGCCCAGGGTAGATGGGGTACCGATGGCCAGGAAGGAGCACTTGAGAGGTACAGTGAGCTCCGGAGACAAAGAAGAAATGAGGGATCAATCTCCCAGAGAGGAGAGGAGTATAAGACCCGCAGAGCACCAAAGAGATCTTAGGCTTCCAAGCTCCCCAATGAGCGGGAGCCGGTCAGGGAGGAGCCTGGAGTCCATCTGGTCCTGTAACCTTCCCTGATCTTTTTTTTTTTTTTTTTAATATACTTTTTATTGATTTCAGAGAGGAAGGGAGAGGGAGAGAGAGATAGAAACATCAATGATGAGAGAGAATAATTGATGGGCTGACTCCTGCACGCCCCCCATTGGGGATTGAACCCATAACTGGGCATGTGCCCCGACCGGGAATTGAACCGTGACCTCCTGGTTCATAGGTCGATGCTCCACCACTGAGCAACACTGGCTGGGCTCCCTGCTCTTCTTTACGCTCAGGTGTCAGGCCTCTAAGAAGCTTCTAGAACCCAGTCACTGCTGGAGGAGTCTGCTCTGTCTCCACTGGATGGCTTTCTTTCCCACCTTTTGTAATCCAGGTTCCCGCTGTCTCCTGAGGCTGGGTAGCGTGCTTTCTGAATGCCCTAGCTTTCCTCCTGTACTTTTTATCAAAGGACTTCTTATTTGGCTCTGTAAATTAGGGAAATGGCCTTTGACTTCTTGGTGTGATGGAAAGTCTATGTCAGCTTGGAGAGACAGGTCTCAGGGCCACGTTAAGTTCTCCGTGTCCTGAGCATACGTTCTATGGCTTTTCTGTTCTCTGCTCTTAGGGGAGTCCTGCATTCTCGTTTTAATCTTTCATAGAGCTCTTCTACATAATTTTAATATCAGCTCCCAAGAATCACATTTCCCCCGAAGGACTCTCTGTCTCTGAGCAGGTTCAGCATCCTCTCTCTTCCCCGTGAGTGAGTCCTGGGGAGCCCCTCTCTGCTCTGCTTCCTAAAGAAACATGTCCACTGGGGACTGGTATGAGGCCTGGCCCCTGCACTAAGAGAGCCTTTGAGGAATTCTGAACACAGACAGTAGGGGAGTGAGGGCCAGGGCTAGGGTGTGGGAGCGGGTTGGGAGAGGTCAGTGGGGGGAAAAGGAAACATGTAATTTTCAACAATGAAGACTTTTAAAAAAGAATTCTGGGTAGCAGAGGAGGCTTTCAAGGAAAATTATGGAGAAACAGGACTGAGTCAAGTGTGTAAGAAATATATTAATTCTCCTGAAGATTAAGATTTTCTCCAAGTTCAAGAACAGTAAATAATTAGCACTGAACAAACATTAAAACTGTCTATAACTTAAAAAAATGTTTGTAGGTTTTGCCTCAGTGTGCTCAATACCATACGAAATTAGTTTGCTCTCTCCAGAAAAGCAAAGGTAAGAACAGGACATGTTTCTACTGGCGAAGGGCACGGAACTTAAGGAGATCCTGTAAATGTTAGTAGATTCCAATTAACCAGAGTGAATAAATAAGAAACCAAAGCTTACTTTTCTGTAATAAACATTATTCTAAGTTAGTAAGCAATTGTTTCTTAGTTTTAGAGCCAATATCCCTTGAGGATGAAATGGAAGAATTTAGAATGAGACATGGAAACCTTAAAGTACATTTAAAAGATCCCGGTGATGAGGACAATTGGGGGGGGGGGGCGGGGAAAGGGCAGAGGGTGGGGTGGGAACCTGGTTGGGGGGGGGGGGAATGAGGAACTTTTGTAATAATATGAACAATAAAGATTTATTTAAAAAATAAAAATAAATATAAAAAAATAAAAGATCCCGGTGAACTCTGTGCTCTGTACATGAGGGCATCTGTGCTTAGCCAGTTGAGGTGACCAATAACTGCCTTCCTTCTCCCTCCCCTCTTTGCTTCTGGACTAAAGATACGCTCTGAGACCAGAATGGAGAAGAGATGCTAACAGTATTGACGCTGACAACTTCAAGGTGTGCTGGTGTGTGGGTGTGGTGTGCAGGTGTGGGTGGGGTCAAGGTGAATAAGTAGAAAGGGAGAACTTTGGAGAGAAAAGCGATGGTGCAAAATCAAAAGATGTGAGGACTCTTATAATTAGAATATGCACAGTGACAGTATTCTATAGTAAAAAGTGATGCAAACTTGGACAGTTCTTAAGAGAGTAGATCCCAAGAGTTCTCATTACAATGAAAAACACTTTTTTTTTTCCTTCTGTATGAGATGATGGATAGTAACTAAACTTGTGGTCACTGCTTCACATTGGGCTGTACACCTTAAACTATACAATCCTGCATGTGAATTACATTTCATTAAAACTGGGGAAAAGGTTCTATGACCAAACTGAACAATGGGAAAAAAAGAAAAAGTTATATGACCATACTGAACAATGATTTATTCTTGCACACCAACAGAGTAGTGATTATATTTCTTTTTCTCCCAAATAATTCTTTTGGCTAAAATACAGTAACATAAATATGCACAGATGAGAAGAAAGACACATACGCACACACAGAAGGTGGGGGGGAGAGGGAGAGGGAGAAGAAAAGGGAGAGGGAAAAGGAAGAGAAAGAGGGAGAGAGAGGAAAAGAGAGAGAGAGAGAGAGAGAAGGGGGGGGACACGACTCACGCACACATGGTGTATTCAGGGTCAAGAACCAATTCTGCCACTTACTCCTGAGGTTACTGAATGTATTTAGTCTCACTAAGTCCCAGTTTTCCCAGCTGTAAAATGAAATTTTTGGACAAGTTGATTGCTAACATTTTTCCTCTTCTAAAACTCTATAATTTAAGAGTTCTCTTTTGTAAGGTATTTTTTAAGGTTCATTAGCTTCAAGGCTCTTAATTCCACAAGAGCAGAGCATACGATTCCGAAAAGCATTTCTGCATACAAACTACAGCTTCCACCTCAGGCAGCTGCTACCACCTGAGTACCAAAGAAACAAGCTGTTTCTGACTCAGTGAGAGAGTGCTATTGAGTCGTTGGATACATTTCCACACACCTCTATATTTCTCAACCACTGTGAGGAGGTATTTTGTGCCTGTGATTTTGACAACGGAGCCGTTCTCTATCACAGAGCTCAGCACTAACATCACAGAGCACTGCTTACCTTGAGGCTCCAGGTTTGACTCCCAACATGTCCCAACTGTCTTTACAACTCCGAATTCTGCGAACGGTGTCTGCTTGTTCTTTGGTGAAACCAGCACTGCTATTTGGGATAGGACGTTTCCCGCCATTTTCACATAAGTCAGCTATGGATGCATAAAAGGTCTGCAAAAGGAAACACATCCCACAGAAGATCTGATTTTGTGAAAATAGGAATTCCTTTAAGCATTAACTAAAGGATTTTAATATATTTCACTAACTCTTAAAATTCATAATAAAGTAAATATTTCAGAGGGAAATAAGATCAAAGAAGTAAAGGAAAGTATACTGTTGGTGAGTGAAGAGAGAGAATCTCAGCAGACACTTGGTAACCACCCAAAAGAATTAAATGCAAATTCCAGAACTGAAGAGTGTTGAATTGAAAAATTCCCTGAGTGGATTCAACAGCAGGTTGAAGTCAGAGCAATAGAGATTATGCATCTAAAAAATAGAGGAAAAAGTGGAATAAAAATAAACATAGCCTCAAGATTTGTGGGATAAAAATCAAATGATCTACTATGTAGCTGGAGTGCCCCCCCCCCACCAAAAAAAAAGGAGGGAGAATAAAAAGAAAAGGAGAGACAATAGGGCATAATGTAAAGGTTTTTTAAAAAACCTCCCCAGCCCTAGCCAGTTTGGCTCAGTGGATAGAGCGTTGGCTTACAGACAAAAGGGTCCCAGGTTTGATTCCAGTCAAGGGCACATGCCTGGGTTGCAGGATTGATCCCCAGTAGAGGGCGGGCATGAGGGAGGCAGCCATCAATGATTCTTATCATCATTGATGTTTCTATCTCTCTCCCTTATTCTCTGAAATCAATAAAAAATATTTTTAAAAAATATCCCCAAATTTCCTGAAAAACACTGCACATCAATCCAAGAAGCTCAACAAGCCCTTCGTAGGATAAATTTAAAGAGAACCACACCTAGGCACATAGCACAACTACTGAAAATCAATGAGGAAGAGCAACTCTTCAAAGTAACTGAAGGAGAGCCTGACCAGAGTGGCTCAGTAGCTGAGTGTTGACCTATGAACCAGGAGGTCACGGTTCAATTCCTGGTTGGGGCACATACCTGAGTTGTGGGCTCAATCCAATCAGTGATTCTTTCTCATCATTGATGTTTCTATCTCTCTTTCTCCCTCTCTCTTCCTCTCTGAAACCAATTTTAATTTTTTTTAAAGAAAGTAACTGGAGGGGGGAAAAAGACATTGCACACAACCGAGTAAGAGTAAGAATGGGTGCTAACGTCTCAGGAGATACACTAGAGACCAAAGAGAAAGAACTAACAAACATAAAGTGCTGATTTAGCCCCCAGTTATTATCTCTGACTCTCCGCCAAATCACTACTCCTCTCGGGCGCTCTCATATCTGAGAAATAAGAGTGATAATTGCCGTATATTGAGAGTCTTAAAAGTGATGACATATGTAAACCCTCTAGAACTGTAAAACACCATTCAAATGGCTATTATTGCTGCACATATACTGTATAGGTACAAACCCACATAGAGCTGTTTCACAAGAGGAGAATCGTGGCAAGCCAACACAGCCTTATTTGGTCTGGAAATAGAAGCTACTGGTGCCCAATTTAGCCTGACAGTGAAGATGGAACCTGTCTTCCAAGAGGAGGGGTGACACTTGTGAGGAGAAAATTCTGCATAAAATATTAAGATCCCACTCAATAATTAAGAACAATTCTCTATAGTATAGCTACATTACTTAAAATGCTAAAAATGCCCAAAATATCAGATGTAGTCATAAGAAAAAAATGCATTATTCATGCCACCACTTACTTCCAAATGGATCTGTCATTAAGAGTTGACTTGACTTTATCACTTAAGTATTTGAACAGCCTCCTCCCCTTAAAATTATTCAAGATCAGTAAATTTTTAAAAAGTGGCTGTCTACTCAGCTTGTACAATGAATGTATCCTTCAATTGCCCACGTGATTGGCGAGACCTGTTTTTGTGTGTGACTGGCTGGATGCACATGGCCATGACACAGGATGATCTTAGCATGGCAAGCCAATTCTGCACACAAATGTAAGCAAAGGTAATTTGGAAAAAAAGTCTTTGTCCCACTGAGGTAAGTGTAAAATAGCTGCTGTTAAACTTGATAATCATCAGAATCACCTAGAAAGCTTTTTCAAAATATAGATTTCTGGCTCTATCACAACATTAAGCTTCCAATAGGCCTGGAACCCAGCAATCTGTATTTTGAAGAATTTCCTCAAGTAACTCTGATGATCGGCTAGGTCTGGTCTAAAATAGACAGTAGACAGATATCACACACACATATCATATTCTTATTCATACTAGAGACCCAGTGCATGAAAATTGGCACATGGGGCAGGGCAGGAGGGGCTCCCTCAGCCTGGCCTCCTCTCACAGTCTGGGAGCCCTTAGGGATTTCCTAGTGACGGCTTAGGCCCGATCCCCAAGGGAAGAGCAACTCTTCAAAGTAACTGAAGGAGAGCGGGCCTAAGCTGCAGCCTGGCCTCCCTCTGCAGGTGACCAGGCTGATCAGGGGAAGGCGCTGTTCCCATCATCCCACTGCTGCTGCCACTGCCAGCTGTGGCAGCTGTGAGGACTGAGCCCCATGCCTCACAGCTACCAGGGCTCATGGCTGCCTGAGCCCCGGGCCTCACAGCACTGTGGCTTTGTTCAGATGGATGCCCAGAAGACGTCCGCCCTAATTAGCTTATTACCCTTTTATTAATATAGATTCTTTCTCTTTTTCTCACCAGCTTCCGAAAAGAAAGAGCTTATTCAAATGAGAAATTGCTGTTTTGCTTCTCATAATTTAAAATAAAATTTGGCAAGGGCAGTTTCGACACAAATTTTAAAACAACAAAATGCTGGGTTACCTGGAACATCTCATTAATTCCCTCTCCGGTTTGTGCTGAAGTTTCAAAGTACAGGAACCCTTTGCTTTCGGCCCAAAGACGCCCTTCACTTTCATCCACACAGCGGTGCTTGGTGCAGTCAATCTGAAATGGCAACGAGGGCCGAAGACGGCCAGTGAGGTCTGTCAGCCCTTCACTAAACAAATACTGTTCTTAAATGAACCCGGCCTCGCACATCGAATGCCCAGGACCCAAAGGGACAAGAGGATGACTGATGCTGAGTGGGGCCTGTTAGCGTACATCCCGCGTATCCCTGGAGGGCACTGCTGCTGGCTCCCCAGCCTGCCACACCCACACCCACACCCTGGGGTTCGGGGCCAGGTCTGCTTTCCACACCTTTCCATGGACACTCTTCACCTAATCACCACCCTCCTCCAATCAGATTGGAGTTTGATGATTGGCATCCGCCTCTCCTGCTGTCACCAGACACAAAAACGGGTAAAACCTGACATGCAGCTGTTGTTTGGTTGTTCTTGTGTTAGGGACCTATGTTTTGAAAAGTTGTTGATTCCTATATTACCGGAAAGGAATTTTTCTTTCCTTTTTTGTTCCCCCAAACTCAGAGCTGCACTCCTCCCACAATAAACCTAGGAAGCTGAGCGTGCCATTCCAAAGCATTACCTTATTGGCACACACTACGAAGACCACGTTTTCCATGTTCCCGTGAGGCCCAAGGTCTTGCTTCATTTCCGCCAGCCACGTGTCCAGGGCCTCAAAGGAGTCCTTCTGCCCCACGTCGTAGACCAGCAGCACGCCCTGTGTGTCCTTGTAGAACTCGTTTCGCACCTGCAGAGAAGAGGATGCACAAAGCCGGAACCGGCAGGCGGAGGGCTTTGGGTTTTATAGGAAAAGGTAAAACCCACACCGGTTTGTTTCAAAAGAAGAGAATCTGCTGTTTGCGTTCATCATATCTGCTGTTGTATCTCAATATCTGCTGGCCTGCTGGCCTTCACTTCAGGGAACGTTTTACAAAACCAAAGTAACACAATAAACAATTCGCTAGCACAGACGGCCTGGGGAGGAAACAGTGGCTCTGCCTCCCCTCCTCACCTCCAGCTCCGCTCCCAGAGGCGGACAACCATGACGTGTGGTTGTCAGACCTTAAAATAACACAATTACGTCACGTTCTTCTCAGGAAGAACACGGGAACCGAGTGAACAATGAATAAGAACTTACGGCAAAAATGACACAGATACTAAACAGGCAGAGCCATCTAGACATCCATCCGCAGCCGGCTTTCCCGGGTGGCAGGTCTCTGAGGCCTGGAGCTGAGCAGCAGCCGCAGAGCCACACTCAGAGCCACACCTGCTCACACTGACTATGGTGTGACCAGGGGCAGGCCCTAACCTCTCGAGTCTCAGTTTCCTCATCTGCAAAATGGGGACACCCTCCTCACTCCCCAGGGTTTATGGAGAGTAAACGAGGTGACAAAGGCAAAGCACCGCCATGTGCAATAGCCTCCTACCCCTCCCCCTCCTCTCTCTCTCTTCCTCCCTCCCTCCGTCCCGAAAAATGGAGAGATGGCTTTTCCCTATTCTTCCTGTAAGTACAAGGAGAGCCTGGGCACCACACAGAAAACACATCAGAAGTCTCGGGAAGTGGAGAGGAGGCGGCAGACAAGCCAGGACCTCTGGCTGGGGACGGATAATATGAGTTTCCTGGGCTTCCTGTGCCGCATGCATGCAAGACAGGGAGCTGAGGGAGTCCGCGTGGAAACGCCATACACAACAGAACCCGCTCTCTGTAGACAGAAGACCAGGCAAGGGGACGCCTCACGAGACAAAGAAACTTTAGACAATAACCACTCACTTCCGCTAGCACCTCAAAAGATTCTGCCTCTCCACTCCCCGCCCCCCTTGAGCAAAGGCTGGGTAGAGACTTCAGAAAAAGAAATCACTGAGAAACACAGTAACAAAATGAAAAAGCTTAGAAATTGAGCTCAATGACAAATGGAGGGGACAGTGGAGAGAATCAGAGAACTAGAAGGGAGACAATAAAATTAGGCAACCTATACAACAGAGAGAGAAACAAACAAACAACAAGCAAACAGAACAGAGCCTCAGGGGGACCCGTGGGCCTACAAGAGGAGAGTCCCGGGGAGGAGAAATAGGGTGGGACTGAAAAAGCGCTCAAAGAAATAATGGCTAAAACCCCCTCAAATGTGGCAAGAGACATAAACCTACAGATTCAAGAAGCTGAGCAAACCCCAAACGGAAAGAGCAAAGAATCCATGCCAACACATCACAATTCCACCTCTGAAACGAAAGACAAAGGGAGCATGAGAGCAGCCAGAGGAAAGTGACACCTCTCTTCTGGGGAAAAACGTTTCAAACGGCAGCAGTTTTCCTCAGAAACCGAGACTGGAGGATTGTTCAGCGCCGAAAGGAAGGAACCCCTGCCTGGGCCCGGCCGGTGCGGGCTGGCCCTGGTCGCGGTGCCCTGCACCAGGGAACTGGGGCTCTGGGCTCAGCGATGAAGTGAGAAGCAGCTCCTCTAACAGGTGTCGTACACCAGCTAAACTCACTTCCTGTTACACATGATTTGGATATGGCTGTCTCAGGTAATTCAGGATCATTGGCTAAACTATGACAACGACAGTGGGCATAGGTTTTCTCAAAAAGGCGCTCTTACCTCATAGAAGAAGGGGTGTCCAGCCATGTCAAAGATGTTCACTTTGATCTCTCTGTCTCTGACTTGTACCCTGAAAAGTTCACATGAAAAAAAAAAAAAAAACCATAGAAGGTCATAGATTCTGCGTTCACATTAACATTATTCGTCACTTGTAAAATCTGTCACTGTAAGTTTTAAAGGTGTCTGTGTGTGAACTTTCAAAGAGCTTCTCAGTGCTGCCTCTCCCCGACCCCGGATCATCTGCCACCGGAGCCAGCACCCGGCAGGCAGCCCTGCTCCTTATTCTAACAGCACGGAGCCGCCTGGCATAGGCACTCACTCCCTCCAACCTCCCCAGGGCCCGCATCCCCCCCTCACTGTCAAAGGGCGGCTCTGACTATGGGATTTGGGATAAGTAGAAGCAAGATGAAGGAAAACAAATATTTCGTTTCCCTTAGTAAGACATCTTAGTTACTACTGGTTACACTTGGTTACCATGCAGGACAGTAACAATGATTACATTATTAACAATACCTGTTTAATTTTCTTGTTATCTTCATTTGAGCAATAGCAATAGTCAATTTTTTTCCAGAAAGTTGGAAATAGAGAACAGAGCAAAAAGGGAAATAATAACCATTTATATAAGAATTAACTACTGTTAACATTATAGCATTTTTGCTTCTAGTCTTAAAAAAAATCACTACTGGAAAATGAATGAATAAAACATTGTAAATAATTTGCACTAAGGTTAAAGAATAGAGATTATAACAGTAAATTAACCAAGGGGTGTCTTTTTTAAGTAAATATTTCAATCTTAGCATTGGTACGACTCCCTCCCTGCAGGGGGATGAGGGAGGGGCAGGGGGAGAACCAGGACATCGGCACCTGCTCCCTATTTCCTCCAGTTGTTGTCTAGTATTTGTATATTTAAGTCAAACTAACCACCACTCCTCATCTTATCGAATTCCCTCTGCTGAGTTCTCTACCATATCTCATCACAAGTAAGAAGCACATTTGTGAAATCAGAATTCATCTAATAAAAGAGAACGTGAGAACAGCAGGGCAAAACAAAAAAGAGTTTGACAGCATCTACAAAAGACCTGGCATAATAATTTATACTAGAAAATTTTACCTTAGAGAGAGAGCATTTGAGAAGGTATGGAACTGGAGAATATAAAGCCAGACAGTAAGATAAGCGTGCTCACACATGCACACTCACAGAGGTCCATTTAACCTGAGCCAGAGAAATCTGCCTTAAGAAAGACGGCAATGCATCACCTCCGGGCAGTGCTGCCCCCCGCTGCGCCCGAAGACCACTGCGTCCGACTGGGGAGGGCTGTGAGAACCAGACCCGGGAACCATAACCTCAGCCTAGGAGTCTGCACACTGACAACTCCACAGGCAAATCCTAAGAATACGGAAGTCTGAGGCTCACCATATGAAAACAGGACAGATGGAATGGGCATGTTATTGTAATGGCCAAAGAGTACCCCTCTTCCCCCTCCCCTCCCAATGTGGTTCAGATGTTCTCAGCGATCTCACAGCTGACGGAGCTGGAAAGGTGTTTGTCCTATCTGACGGCCAAACCTTCCCTGCAATCTTTAAACTTGGAATATTAGTTTCATTCCCTCGCCAGAAGGAAAATGTACACAGCATGAGCCTGAGAGCTGCTGGCAGCTGAGTGGAGAAAGCCAAGAGGAAGAGAGAGAGAGAGAGAGAGAGAGAGAGAGAGAGAGAGAGAGAGAGAGAGAGAGAGAGAGAGAGAGAGAAATAGAGAAAGAGGTAGAGAGAGGAAGAGAGAGATGACTTGCTATATTTGGTTCCCATCATCTCTGAGGCCCAGCTCCATTTGGATTCTGTGAACTGACGTCCTTTTTATTTTTTTGCTGGAGTTCATCCGAGTTGGGTTTCTGTCAATTATATCCTCCTGACTCACCAGGGATAACCATCTTCTCCAAAAACATTTCAGCCACAAACAGAAGAGTCTGTTGAATAGACCACCACTCTGTGGCATAATATGGTGCTTCTCATTTCTTAGATAAATAAGCTAGTGACTTATGTGATCTGAAACAAAACCAGGATCCCCTCACACATCACTGATGAAATCCTGTGCCCTGCACTACAGAGACACCCTCCCTCCCCATCTATCTTTCTGAAGGTTGCTCTAATGTTCTAATCTGGCAAACTTCCCACTCGGATATATCCATTTTACCTAACAATCAATATTTATTGAGCATCTACTACGTACAAGCCCTGAGCCAGGCACCTGGAGATCATTTACACTAACTGCCCTTTATTCACAGCGCTTACAATCTAGTGAGAGACATTAAATATACACAAATCATAATAACAACACAAAGTGACTTATGGTAAGTACCATAAACAGCAGAGAGTTTAGTCCTGACTGATGGAGGTGTTCAGAAGGCCTCGGGGACAGGAGTATTTCACACTTTGCAGGGACAGACAGGTGGAGAGATGAGGGGAAGGGCCATGTCAGGTGAAGGGTGAACACTGGCCCTGATAGGACAGCATGATGGCAGCTCAGTGATGGAGAGTGAAGGTGTAAAGGAATGTAATGAGAGATGGGGGGAGGAGAGAAAAGGGAAATTGGGGCCAGAATAGCAGGTGCCTGAGATTCCACCTTTAGGGGGTGCTGTCTACCTCAATTCTATTTGGCAGCATTATTTCCTATAACTTGACAGCATTATTTCCCATAATGTAATGCTTCCTCTCCAAAATTATTATTATTATTTTTAATATATTTTATTGATTTTGTATAGAGAGAAAGGGAGAGAGATAAAGAGCTAGAAACATCGATGAGAGAGAGAGAGTCATCGACCAGCTGCCTCTTGCACACCCTCCACTGGGGATGTGCCCGCAACCAAGGTACATGCCCTGACCGGAATCGAACCCGGGACCTTTCAGTCCCCAAGCCAACGCTCTACCCATTGAGCCAAACCGATCTCGGCCCTCTCCAAAATTATTTTGTCTTCTCCCCTTAATATCAAATATGGGTATGCAATCCACTCTCGATCCATCTCCAAATAAACCCTCAATTATAGCCAATTTCACTCTTCCTCGATCATTTCTCTTCTCAAGTCCAATAGGCTCTGAAGATCACCAATCAATCAAGTTCTCTGATAGAAAAATTTTCACATAATATTTAGACTTTTTAGAGAGGCTATTTCAAAATGCTCTAAAAACACACCTGCTAATAGGCCATCCTTCTACAGAAACACGTTTCCTGGAAAGTGACACCTGCCATTAGGCTCCATGCTGACCTGCTCCCCAGGCAGGTCTCACCGCCAGGGCAGGATGTGCCCGGGGAGGAATGCACGCCTAACAGTGCTGAGGGAGGTGAGCTCTGCGCATCTGCACGCTCTCATTCCTACTCTGCCCCAACTGACCTCAGCATCTCTCTCCAGACAGAGCATTTGAGAGGGTTCTGGATTTCTATGTAATTTACAATATACTCACTTTGTGACTCCATAGTCAATTCCAATTGTTGCAAGGTATTTTGACACAAATCTTTTCTCACAGTATCGCTTGATAATACAGCTCTAAAAAGGTGAAAATACATGCTTTTAGTAAATAGCCTCTGAGAACATACACAAAATAAACACATTTCTTCACATGCTTGGTGTCTTCATTCATCACTATAAGAAAGCATTTTTAAAGGCAAAAGTATAAAATAACTGAAACAAATGCTAAAAGTGAAGATTTTAAAGAAAAATTATTTTATATTCTCCCCTTAATATCAAATATGGGTATGCTTTTAGTTTAGTTATTAATCCTTGTATTCTTTTCTTTGAAGATCTCTTCTCTTTTTTTTGTTTTTTTGTTTTAATTTCAGAGAGGAAGGGAGAGGGAGAGAGAAATAGAAACATCACTGATGAGAGACAATCACTGCTTGCCTTCTGCACAGCCCATACTGGGAATTAAGCCCGCAACCTGGGCATGTGCCCTGACCGGAATTGAACCATGACCTCCTGGTTCACAGGCTGACACTCAACCACCAAACCATGCCAGCCAGGCAAGACCTCCTCCACTTTTAACAATAACAACAAAATATCTAAGTCTAGCCTTGACCTTCCTCCCAAGACTAGATCCCCATTTCCAAATATCTGCTAGACTAGTTTCTACTCAGATGTCCTGCTGTTACCTCAAACTCAACAAGTAAAATAGCACATCCTGCTGACAATGTACTTCTATTAATATTGCTACCATTTTCCCAATCACAGAGGATCAAAAGGTTAAAGTCGTGTCTGATTCTGAGCCTTTCTAAATCTTGTGAATGTTCCTTCCATCTCTCTCTGCATTCCAAGTGCCATCAGTCCCTCTCTGGTTTAGGTCATGGTGTACTAGACACTGTATGAACTTCATCTTTCTGGCTCCTTTCCTCCCAACTTCAGCCAACACTGCACACCACTAACATTATTTCAACTCAGAAAGCTTTTCATTGCCAAGACTTCAAAATCCAAATTCCTTTGTCTGTTATTCAGGTCCTCGGTAACCTGACCCTAATCTGTCTTCTCTGTCTAAACCCTTCTATATGAACTCTCCATTTCTGCAAAACTTCCAGGACCTGACTTCCTGACTTTTGTCATTACTTTTCCTTCTACTTGGAATAAACTTTCCCTTGTCTTTTCAAATCTTAGTTATCCTTTAAGGTCCAGCTCGAACTCGGCACTCAGGTTATGAGATCTTGTCTGCATCTGAACTCCCCTAGCACTTTACATACACACTATTACACACACACACACACACACACACACACACACACACACACACACACACCCATGCATTGCCATTAGTCATACACTGCCTTGTAGTGTTAGTTACCTTTTCACATGTGTGTATTTACTTTGTCTCTTCAGCTAAACAGTAAACTATGTGAGGACATGCACCAGTATTTTACTTCTTTTTATCTTCTGCAAAATTAGATCAGTGCCAATGAAAAACCAATTTAAAATGACTTTTATATTAATGATAATCCTTAGCACTTACGAAACATAATTTACTTGAAGTGCTGATAATGGAGTTTGTTCTACTTAAATACTTTCCTGATTAACCTCAATCTAATTAAAAGGACAATTACTATAAAAGGGACTTAATAAACCTACCCTAGTAAGGGATTAGGTGCAATCTTGCCTTCTCTGGGACTTTCTGAGAACAGCACCCTAATAAGGGATTAAGTGTGAGTGCCCTCTTGTGGACATTCTGAGAACAGCACCAAGTAAGAGATTAAGTTCAATAGTGTCTTTTTGTGAACATTCTGAGAACAGCACCCTAGTAAGACATTAGTAACAACAGCACCCTATTTTTATTTTATTTATTTTTTATTAATATATCTTTATTGATTTCAGAGATGAAGAGGGAGAGATAGGAGCATGGATTCCAGGCACAAAATCTCATTTTTTCTTATTTCATCTCTAGAACCTCTAAAAAACAATGCTGAGTAATAAAGAAAAATAGTAAGTATCCTTTTTGTACCCATTTTTAATGGAAGTTGCCTTAACATTTTACCATTTGGTATGTTTGCTGGCGACTGATAATAAATATTGTTTTATCATAAAGTGTTTACTAGAATTGACTAATTATATCAAATATTTTTTATAGTACTGGAAATATTTTCTCCAGTAATCAGTTGACAACAAATTATGGAGTTGACATTTTGATATTAAGCCATGTTTACATTCATATAATAAACCCTTAATAACAGTGAATTTGCTTTATTGTTGAATTCTGTTGATATTTTTAAATTATGCATCTCTATGTCTATGTAAAATTGGTATATCGTTTTTTAATACTATATCAATTTTTGCTATTTAAGTTTCCATGACTTCCTATAATAAATTTGGGTCCTATTCATATTTTTCTTTCCTTGTAATAACTTAAGAAACTGAAATTATGTTATTTAAAACTTAAATAAGGCTTATTTATGAGCCTGACAGCTTTTGGAATGGAAAATCTCTTTGCTTTATTGATTTCATTTTTTAAAACATATTTTTATTGGTTTCAGAGAGAAAAAGAGAGGGAAAGAGAGAGAGAGAGACACATCAATGATGAAAGAGAATCACTGATTGGCTACCTTCTGCATGCCCTACACTGGGGATGGAGCCTGCAACCTGGCATGTGCCCTGACTGGGAATCAAACTGTGACCTCGTGGTTCATAGGTCAACGTTCAACCACTGAGCTACACCATCTGGGCAATGATAAATCTCTTAATTTCTTTTTAATTTCTTCTGGGGTAACTGTGCAGTTGGGCTTTCTACTTCTTTTTGAGTCAACTTTGGTAATTTATATTTTGCTAGGAAATCCTTCATTTCCTTTACATTTTCAAATGTGTTCCCATAGAACTGTAGGTAGCATTCTCTAATCATTCTTTAAATCTCTTCTATATGTGACTCGTTTCAATACAAATCTTGTAACTTTTTGCTTTCTCTATTTTTTCTTAAACATATTTTAGGCACTTTATTAGTCATTCCAGATAATTCCCTCTCTTTTTTGGTTTATATTATGTCCTTTTCCTAATGTATCAAGAAATAAATTCCATTAGCTTTTTAAAATTTGAGATATATCGATACCATCCCATAAAATTCACATTTTTATTTTTTAAATATGTCTTATGATTTTTTACAGAGAGGAAGAGAGAGGGATAGGAAGCCAGAAACATCAATGAGAAAGAATCATCGATCAGCTGCCTCCTGCATACCCCTCACCGGGGATGTGCCTGCAACCAAGGTATATGCCCCTGACCGGAATTGAACCTGGGACCTTTCTGTCCTCAGGCCGACGCTCTATCCACTGAGCCAAACCGGTTTTGGCAAAATTTCACATTTTTAAAGTGTATACTTCCGCCGAAACCGGTTTGGCTCAGTGGATAAAGCATCGGCCTGCGAACTGAAAGGTCCCGGGTTCGATTCCAGTCAGGGGCATGTACATTGGTTGCGGGCACATCCCCAGTAATGGGTATGCAAGACGTAGCTGATCGATGATTCTCTCTCATCGATGTTTCTAACTCTCTATCCCTCTCTCTTCCTCTCTGTAAAAGATCAATAAAATATATATATTTTTTAAAAAGTGTACACTTCCATGGTTTTTAATATACCAACCAAGTTGGACAACCATTAAATTCCTTTAGTTTTTATCTCTTCTATAGAAATAAAATAATGCACTTTCCCCTTTGACAACAGATTTAATTTTGTCTTGAAGGTTATAGTATAGATTTTATTCATTTTTATTGCTTTATAATTATTTTGTTATTTGTTTTAAATTGCTTTTTGATCCAAGGATTATTTACTAGAGCATTCCTTAATGTTTAACTTATATTTATTTGTATATCTTCCTACATTTCCCAAATTCTTTTATAATTGGGGGGGGGGTGTATTACATTTAAATCTTTTATTCACCTAAAATTTATTTCTGAGAAAGGAATGCAATAGGAATCTACTCTACTCCTAAATAGTAGGTAATTATTCCAATAGTACTTATTCAATGGCCTCTATGTTCCCATGATTTCATTATGTTTGTTGTAAACTAAATTTCCTCATATGTTTGGGTTTATTTCTGAACTCCATTCTATTCCACTAATGTCTCTATATTTCCTTTCCAGTATCTATAGGAAAATCTTGGTAACTGTAAAAAGTGTTTTAATATCTGGTAGTGTTAGTCTCCTCTCATTTGTTTTTTCACAATTTTCTTAGTTATTTTCATGTTTCATTTTTCATACGGACTTTAATACCTTTCATTGTGTTTTGAAGGAAAATCTTACTGGTAATATAATTGGAATTGAATTATATTTGTGTATTAATTTAAAGAATTAACATTTTTATAATACTGAATGATTCTAATTAAGAAGAAGTATCTTTCCATTTGGCTAGGTAATTTTATGTCCCTTTGCAGAATATGAAATATTTCTTCATACAGATCCTACCTAGTTCTTCTCAATTTTAAACGTAGGCACTTTAATTTAATTTCTTATTGTAAATTAAAATAGTTTTTCAGTTATGTATTCCAAACACTTATACTTTTATGTAGTAAAGCTATTAATTTTTGTATATTAGTTTTTCCTTATTGGATTTTCTTATTGTTTCTAATAGCTTTTCAGTTAATTTTCTTTGGGTTTCTAGATAAACAATCATACCATTAGCAAATAATAATATTGCCTTCTTTCCAGTACTTCAGGTTTTATTTCTTTCTCTTACCTAATTGTACTGTCTAATAAATGAATGTAGTGACATTGGGAATTTGGGGCTATTTCTAATGTAGCATCATTAAGCATAGTAAAGTTACAAAAGGGATGCAAGCCAATTTTCCAATTTAGTACCTAACCTTCAAAAGGCATTTTATTCTTTTATTCTCAAGGCCTGGCACATAGCTGATGTTCAGAAAATGTTGCCTTTCAGTGAATGCTGTGTTAGTACTTACATTTATCCATAGATACACAAACAGTAAAATGCTGCTAAATGGAAAGGAAAGATACTAATACACATTTAATGAGCATTAACTGTATGTACAAGGTGCTGGCTTACGCATCTCATTAACCATTGGTGGAGAGCCTGCTCCCAGCTGATTCTGACAGCATGCCCTCACTGAGAGCTTTGCAGTGGGGGGTGAGGACACAGGTTCTAATCCTGTCTCTGTCACTAGTGTGATGACTTTGAGAGATTCTTACTAGACAGCTTCCATTACCCAGAAGGAGAGGCAATTTGGGCGAAGGGGAGGCAGTCTTAGGACCCATTTGGGGGAAGACGTGGGCCACCTCTCACCCTCCATCCCCCCCATACAATAGGAGAGGGATTAGCTGATACCCGGGAGACTGAGGAAAGAAAAAGGCAGTGGAACCAAGCCTTCTTTGACAGATCAGATGTGGTGACACCACCAAAAAAAAAAAATAATAATAAAAAAATAAAAATAAAAATAAAAAGGGCAGCTCTGACTGGTTTGGCTCAGTGGATAGGGACTGAACGGTCCTGGGTTCGATTCCGATTGAGGACATGTACCTTGGTTGCGGGCACATCCCCAGTAGGGAGTGTTCGTTTCTAGCTCTCTATCTCTTTCCCTTCCTCTCTGTGAAAAAAACAAACAAACAATTATATATGTGTGTGTGTGTGTGTGTGTGTGTGTGTGTGTGTGTATATATATATTTTTTTCTTTTTTTCTTTTTTTTTTAAGGCAAAAGCTCCTAGAGGCTCCCGGCGACTCCCCCGTGAAACATGTCCGCATCCGTGATGCTTCCTTAGGACTGACATGCCGATTCTGGGCTCCAGGTCTGCAGAGAAACCCTCTCCCCGCCCCCCGGCCTCCATGCACCCCAGCCAGGTCCCCCCCGGCCTCCAAGCACGGCCTGGGTGACTAAACTTCCACTCTGCATCCCTCAGCCCCGATGGGTCCCCCCAGAACGCAGACAGGGCGCCTAAGCAGCCCGCCTGACGTTGGGGTCGAGGCCTCCTTCCTCTCTTTGGGGCACATTCGAGGGTGAAGAGCCACAGAAGACACCTCCTCAGGAAGGGTGACGTCGGTGGAGCAGGGGGACAACCCAGAGGTCAAACAGGTCAGGAGAGTCTTCCTCCCGGCGCCCCGGCCCCGGAACAGAGACCCCGGCCCTCTCAGGGGCGGGGAGGGGGCTGGGCCTCGGGCTGCGGAGTGGTCGCCCTCCCGGCCAATCGGCACGCCGCTCCGCGGCGGAGGCCCCGCCCCCCAGCCCGGTACTCACTTTGCCCACCTCGGCGTTGCCCATGGAGATGACTTTGATGCGCAGGGACTTGCCGGGTTCCTTCCGCTTCGGCAGGCTGGCGTCCATGGCCTCGGCTCTCCCGGGGCCACTCGCCTCAGCCTCTCCTTGCCACACGCCGGCCCGGCCTTCAGGCCTCCTCAGCCAATGGCGGCGCCGCGGCTGTAGTACCCGCCCGGGCTCCGGGGCTCGCCATCCCCGCCGGCTGCACCGCAACAGCGGGCGCAGGCGGTTGGGAGGGTAAAAGTCTCGCGATGCTAGGCAGGGGAGGCGTGACGTCACCGCCAGGCACTGGAAATAAAGTTGTGGTGACCGGGTCGGCGGGGTCCAGCGAGGGGCCGTCCGGGCCGCTCGGAGTGGGCGGCTCTGTGCCCAGAGGCTCCAGGACGCGGGCATTCGATGCCGAGTGGCCTTTTTAGGGCAGATCCTCCCCTGGGAAGCATCTGGGATGATGGATTACCTAGTTCAAGGCTCAGCAAGCCAACATTCTGAGTAGACCATGGTCCATTGGGAATTGTTTTCTGGATCCTTCCGTCCACCCTGGCGGCCCACTCCCTGCTCCAATGTTGGGTTTCCCCGGCTCCGGCGCCCAAGAGGCAAAGCCAGAAGCCAGGGGGGTGGGACCAGCCAGGGCCCGGTTCGGGAAGAGGGGCCCGTCCGCAAAAATCCTCTGCCCCCTAATCCAGTGCCAACAGGAGCCCCCAGTCTGGGGCACAGAAAGAAGAAGGACTTTGTTCAGGTAAACAGTTAGCAAGCCGGGCAAAAATCAAAAGTGCGCTCCCGCCAGAAGCCAGGGAAACCCACTTATGTAGGGAAAGTGGCTGCCCTTGACCCTGATTGGTCCATTTTTATGCAAATAAGGAATCCAAATGTTCAGTGTAATGGGTCCCAAAAGCACCGTCCTGATTGGCTGGGATTGTGCATTCTGATTGGTTGTGATGGGACTGCTCTGATTGGTCAGTAAAGATGTAAATGAGGACACATCTCAGCTCCGTTTGAATGGGCAGGTCTCATGCCATTGGCCAGAAAATGGTTCCAAGAATTCCTTTGTAAGGTTCTGTTGGGGCAGGAACTCAGCGCAGGAGGTTTGGCAGATCCCTCTGTGAAGAGGGGCCCCTCTGAATAATGGCTACTAGACTATGGATTATGAATTTGGACCCAGTTACCTACAAGGAGTCCTTTTTGGCAGGTACCTTCCTTCTTGGGTTCAATAGGCCTCTGGCAAGGCCTGAATCCTATTCCTATCATTAAAAAAAATAAAAATTAAAAACAAATAGGCTATTTGGAGCCAACATGGGTTTAAGTATAGTCCTTACTCTTCTAGTAATGTAGTTCTAATTTGTAGGAAGAAAGTTCAGACTGGACTTTTCTGACACCCTTCCAGCTCTGTCGAGGTGTGTGTGCATGTGATTGTAGCTGTAGGCTCCTTCCTGCCACTCACATCCAAATTTAGCCCCGTCTCCTGTCCTCACCTTTCCTTTAGCTGACAATGTGACAAATGGATTCTAATGTAACCACTTTTATACTCTTTCATTCCAAGGGACAAGGAAAGCATCATCTTGATAAAAATGAGTCTAAAAGGAACTGTAATTTTTTTGAGCCAATATCTTCAGTTACAGGAGATAAACATAACTTGATAAATGATTATTTAGTGCCCTGAAAAAAACGGCTGCCAGTTTACTAGTAAATTACAAGAACAGCGGTCGTATTGCTTGTGTTCCCCTCATAGCTTTAAACAAATGTATTGCAGGAAGGCAGTGAATAAAGGCTCAAATATTTATAATTGTTATTTCAGTTATGTTTTCAATTATTTCAATTTAGAATTTTAATTTTAAAACAGTCTCCGCTTTTCAAGAAGAAAGCCTATTCTGGGTTGTTTTCATCATCAACAAGTAATGTAAATTAGTTCCGTGAAGCTTTTAAAATTCTTTACGAATATAAAATATAAACTATGGTTAGAATTTTTATCGTTTTAAGCTGAAAATAATGGGACTTAAACTTATTCTCCAAATACTGATCTCTCAGTATGATTTAATAAAGTCAAGAAACATCTGTTTCTTTAACAGTTCACCTTTCACCCTATCACAGAACTGCTATTGCGGAAGAATAATTGCAAAACGTCAAGTCTAACTATTAAAGACGGATTAGGTATGATACTCTTGGTCAATAAAACACGTCGAGGTTTAAAATTTATTACCATTTTTGCATATTGATGTGTTCAAGGTTTGAGTATGAATAGCCATATTTTCTACCGGCTGTGTGGGATTAGTTTGAGATTGAAAAAAGCAAGAAAGTAGCTTTTCTTTTCCAGTCTCTTTTTTTTTTTTTTTTTAAATATATTTTATTGATTTTTTAGAGAGGAAAGCAGAGAGATAGAGAGCCAGAAATGTCGATGAGAGAGAAACATCAACCAGCTGCCTCCTGCACATCCCCTACCGGGGAGGTGCCCACAGCCAACGTACATGCCCTTGACCGGAATCGAACCCGGGACCTTTTAGTTCGCAGACCAACGCTCTACCACTGAGCCAAACCGGTTTCGGCTCTTTTCCAGTCTTTACTACAGAAAGGAGAAAGAGAAGAGTGAATTGGCTGTGTGTGGTGGGGAGCTGGACGGTGCGGTCCATGGGTTAGGTCGGAGCAGGAGGGCTGGAGCCAGCTCTGTTATATGTATGCTGGTGCCACACGGGCACGAGGTGGTGGGAAGGATTGTGGGAGAGAATGCCCATGAATAAGGACAGTGAATAAACGCTCAACTTTTCATAATAGTTATTTTAAGATAGATTTTCACATATTTCCATTTAAAACTTTCATTTAAAAATATTATATGCTTTAAAATTGATTCCAAGAGCTCCTTTGTAAGGATTCCTAGGAAGTACAGTAAACCCAATAAACAGTAGCCTTATGCTTTTATATTTCTGTATTAAGAAAGATTCTACATAGTTTGAACCTGCGTTTTAAAAGTAAATTAGGAAATATATTGGGCATTCTTAAAGGCATAGAGAACAGCATAATGAATATCGGTGTATCTACCATGTTGTTTAAGAATAAAACATCACGGATGCTGTGTGTTTTCTTCCCCAGTTCACCCCTACCCCATCTCTGCAAAAGGTTGCAACTCTCTGAATTGGTGCTTTTCATTTGCACACATTCAAAAAGTGTACTTACTGTATGTGTTATACACATGAAATGTAGTATTGTGACATGTCTTTTAGAAATATTTATTTTGAAATAATTTTTTCAGAAAAGTTGCAAGAATAGTAGAACAAAACCTTATATCAACCCTTTATCCAGATTCATCAATTACCATTTTGTCTCGTTTTGCTATGGATATAGCACTGGATAGTGTTCTGTTTATCCATTTATCTATCCACATGTTTTTCCCCTCGAGTCATTTGAGAGTAAATAGCAGATGTGTATCTTTACCCATAAACACTCCCATGTGTATGTTCCAAGACAAGGACTTCTCTTACAGAGCAACAGTATATTTATCAAAATCAGGAAATGGAACACTGACACAGCTCTATTATCTAATCCTGTGGTTCTCATGCTGTGTACTGAGGTACCCCACAGCCCCACAGTGAATTCAGTTCACCGGGGATGTCTGTAGGGTATCTTACATTCTAAATTCTCAAGGCAAACAAAATCTGTGACTACTTGCCCGAGGTTGTTTGCAATTTCTACAATAGATGGCGCCATATTCCTTAAACATGTCACATGTGACACTTTCCGTGACTGTGATAAAAACCCAAGTACAGTGCCAAAATCAGCGTGGAACAGGAAATTGGGGTGGTCTTGTCCAACCTGCTCCCAAGGTTTGAGAAGTTGTGCAGTGCCCAACAGGTGCACACATCCCGTTAGTAAGTAATTGTGGTTAAGATGGAAATAAAATATGTTTTTGTTCAATGTGCACGTATTATATTATTTTTTCACATAGCAATGAAATTGTTAGAGCATAAATACTTAATGAGTTGTTTGGACCTAGATATTTCTTTTGGCCAAGGAAGACCATGACAAAAATTATTGAGACACTGAGGATACATTGAACCAAGAATATTTGGGAAACTTTGTTCTAACCCACAGATAGTTCATATTCAGATTTCACCATCTGTCCCAAAATACCTTTTATAACTATGTTCCCCATCCTCACCCCCTAGTCTGGAGTCTTATCCAGTATCATTATTTGTCATATATCTTTAGTCTTCTTTTAACTGCTATATCCTCAGCTTTTCTTTACCTTCCATTATGATAGTTATTTTTAGAACATTCCTCATTTTGTGTTGGGTTATTCTTGTGATAAAATTCAGTGATGAATGTCATACTGTCCCTTTTAGGGCATCAATATCCGAAAGTCTGTGATTCAATTTGTTCCATTTATTAATGATGTTAACTTTAGTTAGTTGATTAATGCAAGTTTTCCCCTTTATAATAAATAATTTGTAAGGGGATATTTTGAGGTTATATAGATATCCTTTCTTCATTGGATTTTCACCCACAAATTTTTAGAATCTAATGACAATTCACAGCTGAAAAGATTATTTCCATGATGGATGCAAAAATCATGATTTTCCAACTTCATCATTCCTCCTACATTTATTACCTGGTATTTTACCTTAAGAGAGAGCTTTTCTTTCTCATTTATTAATTTATATCAGCCTGGACTCATATATGCTTACTAGAGGCCCAGTGCACGGATTCGTGCACCAGTGGGATTCCCTCGGCCTGGCCTGTGGGGATCAGGTTGAAACTGTCTGTCTGACATCTTCTGAGGGGTCCCAGATTGTGAGAGGATGCAGGCCAGGCCAAGGGACCCCACCAGTGCACATTTGTGGCCGAGGAAGGACCAGGGCATGTCCAGCCCATCTTGCCCAGTCCCAAGCGGCCAGACCCCAACAGTAAGCCAACCTACTGGTTGGAGAGTCTGCCCCCTGGTGGTCAGTGGGCATCATAGCGACTGGTCAAATGGCCCAACAAACGGTCAGATACTTAGCATATTAGGCTTTTATTATATAGGATTTTACTTTATGAAATATTGTTTTGTTACTATTATTTATTTTGATGTTCAAGCTAGC